CCGAAAGAAGATTTGCGAGTAGAATTGGGTGAGGCGGACGTCTGAGAACTGTTGTTTTTTTTTAATGGATAAAAGGGAGGTCGTTATTTGCAGCGAAGAGAAGGAAACTATGACACTTAAACTTCTAGAAAATAGGTTTAAAATAGGAGCAGACGGGGAAGGGTGTTAGGAACTAGGTGTGGTTTATTCGTAGATAGGTAAGGGTAATCTGGGGGTGGCTTTGTAGTGAGAGAGAGGAACTCTCCACATGAGCAAATGATCTGAGGGACAGTTTTATAATTATGGGAGGACAGGAGAGTGAGTAGGGTGTGAAGAGAAGTTATTTTTGTGAAGGCTGATCCTCAACTTGCCCGTTTGTATATTTATTTATTTATTTTATTTTATTTTTTTTATTTGTCAATTGTTTACGAGATAATAAGTAAAAGTGTATACATAATTATGAATACATGAAATGAGTACATATAAGAAAAATGAAAGAAAAATAAAAGAAACAATAGGACAGGGACGGTAGGCACGTTGGTGCGCTTATGCACGCCCCCTACAGACCTCTTAGGAAAGGGGTGAGGTCAATAGTAGACAGTCTAAGGTCAAAGTTTTTGGGGTTTAGGGAAGAAACTACAGTCGGGTAGAGTATTCCAGACATTGACCACTCTGTTGCTGAAGTCGTATTTCCTGCAATCAAGCTTGGTGCGGTTAACCTTGAGTTTGTATCTGTTGTGTGCTCTTGTGTTGTTATGGTTGAAGCTGAAGTATTCATTGACAGGTAGGACATTGCAATGTATGATTTTATATACCATGCTTGGTCCTCCTCAACTTGGATGCCCTCCTGGTTGGTGTTTCTATTCCCTATATTTAGCTTTAACCCCTGAAATTTTGCTTTTAATTTTACACCGCCAAAAGATAGGATGGGGGAAAGACACACTGGCAGCAAAGTAGAAATTAGCCAGTTTCATTCTTGTGTCGTGCAAACTCAAGCTGTATTATTAACTTCCATAGGTTGCATGAGCCTGGAAAGCTGGGCTAATTGAATTAAACATCTTCTGATATTCCCCAGGTGTATACAGTAAAGCTGAATACATTCAGCCTGAGCTTATCCCATACAAAGGTGTATTTCAAGCCCGTGGTAAGCTCAGAAACAGTTTACCTCAGCTGTGATTCAGATAGGCCACGAATTAAATTGCCCATTAAGAAAACCCACAGCTGAATTTCCAGGTGGCAAATGAGGCAGGCGGGGAGGCTCATGAAAAAAAGTAATTTGTAATATACTAAAACTTGGTAAAAGGAAACTGGTTCCAGTTAAATGGAGACAAATATCTTGTTAAATTGTGTTTGCTAAAGGCAGTGACAATCAAAAATTACTGAATGAGATGGCCCAACAAAATCAACTACTGCTGCCTTCCCTCTACTCGAGGGCATCACCAGTGACAGCTACCCCTGATATGCAGCCAAGCAGTTGCCAGTGGTACCCAGAAGCCATGCACAGTAAGTGACGAGATTCCACTGAACAATAAGTTGGAGCTTTGAGTTTGTGTGCATCCTGATTCTCAGTCTGTTCTCTAGTCTGATATCCTAGTCTCACCTGGGCATTGGAAGGAAGCATCAGATTCAGGAAGTGTGCTTTTCCTAGAAAACAAATCTTTGTGTAGATGGAATGTACACTCTACACCAGGGGTGTCAAACTGGTGGCCCATGGGCCGGATGTGTCACACATAGGCCATACCCACCCCAGCTCTGTATGGGGAAAATGTCATGAAACGTCACATGATGGCAATATGACCTAGCGAGTTTGACACCTGTGCTCTACACAAAGAGTACACAATCACACTACACAAAGATCATATGAGCATATACTCTACACAATATATAGTCAATATATTAATAACAATTTTAATATATAATATGTATACAATTGCAGTAGTAGATTTACATACCACTTCATAGTGCTTTACAGCCCTCTCTAAATGGTTTACAACCATGGCAAAAAAAGAAGGTAAAATTGGGTGCAGCACTTAACAGCTGCCTTGCTTAACAACAGAAATTCTGGTTCTGTTGTGCTTACCTGTACTATATTTCATTTGTGCTGTTCTCATATATAATGGATTTGTGTTTTAGGAAAGTTTTTTTAGTCATAATGATCTAAGAAAAAATGCTATGCCTCTAAAACCCCAAAAGACAAGTGTAAAAGTTTTAATAGTATTATTCATGGTTTTTAAATTTTTAAATATCTTTACTAAAACCAGGGATACACTAGAGCAGGGCTGTCAAACTCCCGGCCCTGTGGGCCAGATGCGTGACGCACTGGCCACACCCCCACCCAGTTTGGAGAATGGGAAAAAAGTCTTGATATGTCACATGACACCACCGTGACTACACAAGTTTGACACCCCTGCACTAGAGGATTTTTGAAAACCACATCATCATAGAATTGTTTTGTAGGTTTCATTGTGGGTTTTTTGCCCTCAAGTTCATATTTTTTGTCTAAGATTTTTTACCACTTTTCTTGGATTCTTGCTGAGTCATAAGCTGGTTTACACATATCCTGGGCTGAGATGTGGCTTGTGAATCCAGCAGCAGTTAGGAAGTCGGTAAACTATGGTTCACTAGCCAGGACTTACACGGTTGTGTAAATTTGCTAAGAATTCCCCTCAACTGACATGAAATCTACCTTTCCCAAACTGATACTGTCCAGATATGCTGGGGCTACAACTCCCAAAATTCTCTGTCAGATTGCTTTAAAATTTTTGTATAGTATTGGATTAAATTAGGATAAAATGGCGTATAGGGGAATAGGAAAGAACTAGGTACAAGCGACTTCTTGGAAGAATGGTCATAGTTATGTGTCTTCTTTTATGTAGATGCTATTCTGAAGAATCAAGAAGCTCTGCGTATGGTGTTGACCAACCAGGATACGTTAAAGAATCTTGTGGATCAGCTCCAGAACACTATGTCTTCTATTGAGGATCGAGTCCAAGCTATTGAACAAGAAATGAGCATCTTTGTTCAGTTCAACAAAGAAATAGATCAACTTGGAGATGAAACTAACCTCAATGAGATTGCTTTTTACCCATAGAGTCCAATTACCATATCACCACCACCCTTTCACTGATCTGACTTTTAGCACATACACTGTGCAATAGAAACAAATGTGATATTTGGCCTGTACAGATATAATTGCTGTTGTTCCTAGAACCTGTTTAACCGAGTCTATTTTCAATTGGCTTACAGAGAATTCTTTCCTCCTGAATCAAAATGTAGTTTCTCCTAAGATACAATTAGCCTCTGGCCCACTGTTTCAGAACCTCAGCAACTAAGATATAGATTTCTACTCCCAATGTAAGAGTTGAAATCCATGCATCCTAATGTTTCTGAGGTGAGAAACATTAACAAGTTACTTAAAGAAGCTGTCAGGACATCTCATCTGCATTATATGTAGTTCATAATCCTCAGCTTTCTGAATGTTTGTTCTGAGGGAGGCCTAAGCTCTTTCTTCTTCTGAGAAACAGCTTGAAAAATGCTACACAAGAATCTTCACTTTTCTTCCCTTAAATAGCACATAAATGTTTTGAACACCTGGAAAATTGGTCAGATATGAGCCAAATGAAAAATTCAGAACTGCCTTTTATTCTGTCCCTATTTCAGCCATGCTAGCTCACATACATGGCACCACTAATTAATTCTAGTGTTAATTAGGAGGAAATGCTTCCTTGAACAGATTTCAACAGTGAAACAATATTGATGTTGAATTTCATGTAATCTTAATCCAGAATGGTTATCTGACACATTCTGTGGTAGTACTATAACTCTTTACTTGGGATACAGTCTTGTGAAGGGCAATCTGCTGTGGAAAATATGCTGTAAATGAACACTGAATTAAATACATGCTGTCAGAGGTGATGGTTCCAACTTATGGGTGGTTCTGTGAATGTACTTTGACATTAAACACAATGGAATGACATTTATGGTGTAAGGAATATTGCTGCAGTTGTTTTGGAAATTTTCTTTTAGAAGTATTGGTCCAAACTCTTTAATAGGCCCCCTTTCCCCAATCTGGACAGGAAAGAAAAATAAAACACACATCTATTTCTGCCTGTTTTATTGGAAGAGAGATCTGGGTCAAAGCAAACAATCTTTCCAAAGATTTAATCACAGTAGGACTGGCGTAAAAACCAAATTGTCCATATCCAGCCTCTGTTGATTTAATTAAACTGACAGTTCTGGGTTTGAATATTTTGAATATTAACTGAATATTTTTCCCATGTCAGTCTGGATTGCTGGAAAAGCTGTCTGGGTTGGAAATAGGATATTTGACAAAAGTTGATGGACATAGGGGCTCTCAAGGCTATCCAGATTTAGCTCTCAGGAATTATTGTACTCCTCATGATGTCCACGTCCTCCAAACTCAAATTGAAGGCAGAAAACTGGGGGAATTGCCTACAAAATTTTTCTTCAGAAATTACATTACACATAATAGGTAATTGCTTGCTGGAATGACAACTGTGTTCCCATTGTGGGTTGCAGCAGGATTCTCCATTCTCATCAGCCGCTTCTGTTTTTCCATTCTCCAACATTCAGGAAGCATTCTTAGTTACTAAATGTACTCAGTTTTCAGCCACACTGATACATAGCACCATTAATTCTAGTGCTAATTTGGGGGAAATGTTTCCTTGATCAGATTGCAACTGGGAACAATATTGATGACTTCTGGTAGTGGGTTTGATGTAATCCTAAAAAGCAGGCATTGCTTATTTGAACGTTGCACGTGGCTGGGAGTCACTGTGTAGGAGTTGGGAGGCTAATGTTTAATATATATTTCATCTTGACAGATTTGTAATTATCCTTGCATATTGCCCAGATACTCTTGAGGCGACTTAGAAACTTAAAGTAACTGATGTTACCTAGTTTGGGTAATGAAACTTCTCCAAGGAAACAACCAAGCTCAGAGAACACCAATGATCCCCCATTTCAACCCCGAGCTACAAATATTCTCCTTTATTGCGGCGAGGGGCGCCACTCTAACCCTACAGACCCTGCGCCGATCTGATCCGTCTCCTCGCCATTGGCCGCGAGACGTTCCGCATCCGAAGCGTTCTGCATCCGTCGTTTCGGAAAGTTCTGTCGAAGGGAAGCCGAGAAGGGCTACCCTACTGGCGTTGTTGGGGCGCAGTCTGGTAGCTCCTGTTTCGCGCCGCTTGTCAGGTGAGGTGACAGACTCAAATCTGTTTCGCTTTCCACTTTACTTCGCTTTCCCCGCATCTTTCCTTCCCTAGCCTGCGGCTTTGTTCCTTTGGGTATGAGCGGTTCCATCAGCTAAAGAAGGGGGAAATCAGGGTCCCTGTCGAAGAAGAGTCGAATAAAAAGGCTGAGGGTGATCGTTTCCCTTCCAAAGTCCTGGGAAGCGGCGCAATTTACCTCCCCAACTCCGCCATTTCATTTGGTTAGACAGGCGTTTTCCTTTCTTCTGGCGGAATCGGTGTTTTAGGATTTAGTTTAGTTGCGTTCCTAATGGGCGTATCGGTTCCTAGTAAAATGGCGTCGGGGAGCCCCCATAGTAATGCACGACCTTTAGAAGACGACCCCCCAAAATTCTGAATTTATTAACACGGGATGTATTTCCTTACCCGCTTTGAACGGGGACGCTCATTGCGGGAACTGCTAAAGAAATACAAGGCAGGGGGCGCGTTCACACACGCCTGAGTTAAATTCCCAAAGAAACGCGAGAAGAAATCTTTACTGGCTCTTCCCAAACAACTCAGTTATTTATTTGTAAGAGATTTCACAAGCAGATTTTCAGCCAACAGGAGGATTTCTTTTTCTTTTTTCTTTTGCTTAATCCTTTTAGCTGATAACAAGGGGGTGGTGTGTGTTTGGGAGAGTGGACAAGTTTCGTTTTCCATTTCATCATTCTGGTGAGGCTTGCAAACCGGTCTGCCTATCAGCTGCCTGAAGAGCTCTAAAGAGGAGGAGAATTATCCTCCTCTTAAAAATCTCTGTGGACCTGTAGTGCATTGTGCAGAGAGCAGGAACCGGAGAGGTTTGCAAATCTGGTGCCTTTTTGCCATTATCTTGGCGTTGGGGAAGGAGGTTCTGCAACATGAAGGCCAGGGTGAGTCGAGTTTTTATTGGTTCCTGTCCTTTGCTCATCCCTGGTGATCTGCAGATTAAATTACTCTTGACAGTTTTGACTGATTGTGTATCTTTAAGTCATCTGCTCCTAGCAGTCACATAGATTTTTCTCCATGGTGATCTGTCCCGCATTTGTTCTACCAACTGTACGCTCACATTGCCACTGTTAAATGAGTGTATGTATATGCCTTGCAGCTGATTAACAGAATAACAGCTGGAAGGGGCTTCTAGTCCAACCTTCTGCTTAAGCAGGAGATCTTATACCATTTTAGACAAGCGGTTGTCCAAGCTCTTCTTAAACCCTCCAGTGATGGAGCACTCACAACTTCTGGAAGCCATTCCACTGAATAATTGTTCTAACTATTGTGACATTTCTTAGTTCTAGGTTGTTTCTTTCCTTGACTAGGTTTCCATCCATTGCTGCTTGTCTTGCCTTCCGGTGCTTTGGAGAATAGGTTGACCTTTTCTTCTTTGTGGTAGCCCCAGGGGTGGGATTCTGCTGGTTCGGACCAGTTTGGGTCCGAAGATCAGCTGGGACCAAACCGGTATGCTGCGACAATTATGTGGGCCCACCCGCCTGCGCTGTACTGACCTTTATCGTCCCAGCTGATCAGTATGGAAGAGCGGATTGCCGCTCCTCAGCTGTATTACTCCCCCGAAGTAACATAGCAGGTAAGGATTTTTGCATTGTTGTTCATGCATACGCAGTGTACATTAGGTGCACACATGCGCGAAGTGCACAATTATATATATATATATATATATATATTGCTTTCACTGGCACAAAGCAGAAAGCACCAGCCTGAGGATGGCAAGTGGGACCTCACTGAAACATTGCCAAGATACTCTTAATCTTACACGGGAAAAGACCCAAACACAACCTAGACCTATATGTATGTATATGTATGTATGTATATGTATGTATGTATATATATATATATAATGTATGTGTGTATATATATATATATATATATATATATATATATATATACACACACACACACACACACACACACACACACACACACACACATATGTATGGCATTAAGACTTAAGAAAACTTAAGAAAAAACTTAAGAAAGCATATATATACACACACACACACACACACCACACACACACACATACACACACACACACATATATATATATATATATATATAAATAAATATATACATATATATATATGTATGTATGTATGGTATTCGGTTTTGTTCGGACGAACACAATACAGAAGCCTGATGATGGCAGATGAGATTCTGCCGAAACGTTGCTACAACTTTAAAAGCACAACTACAATGACGTGGGAAAATACCCAAACAAAGCTGAATACCATACATATAAGTACCCGTGAAAACTTAAGAAA